ATGTTATAGTGAATCTGTTAGACGTCAGATCTTATATACCCCCACCCCAGGCCCTAGCGTCACCCTTGGTTCCCGTATACAAACACCTAGAAACAGAGAGTTGTTAGTGATAGTCGATCTTGAATAACATAAAGTTGTTAATCACACCGTCGTGAGGTAAGAGTTGGTCACAATTGGCTAATTAGATTGGTGATCAGTTGAACTGTATTAACCGTAAGCCGAAACATATGCCTCTATTCCAGCCTTTCTGTGCACGTTAAAGATCCTTCGACAGTTGGAAATCGAAAAAGATCAGGCCAATGCCGCTGTCCTTGCAAAATTTCCTTCATTGCACCCTGCATGGCGTTGCCCGTCTTCATTAGCCCACATGGTGCAGAAAGTAGGACGTAAAACTTCATTTCATTTCTATTCTAGCCTCTGACAGATATTTTGAGTAGGATCGTGGAAGTGGGAAAGTGAGTATGTATTCATAGAATATTTACAGAGGCATCAACATTTTACTATCACTACCTCGAGTAAAAACAACAAATATAGGAATAATTAATTCATAGTCTAAACGAAGTTACTTTAATAAGAGGCTCTAGTGTGAGTGGATTAAGATACAAAACTACCTATGATTTGTTCTTACATGGAAATAACACACGATGGTAGTTCCCAACCATTTTAAATCTCTTCCTCGACTTAATAAGTCGAATTTTCAAAAAGGTTATATTATTTCAAATAAGCCATCAAATCAATTTTAAACGTTTAGAAATGGCTTTCAATGTGATTTGAAAGCTTTGATGAAATACAATAATCCTTTTTAAAATTCCAAACGGTTGTGAACTACGTTCGTGTGTGTTATAATCTTGTAAGAAACAAATATAGTTGGATTAATAGTAAATCTGATCGGAAGATAATACTACTAAATTAATTAGTGAGAGCTGGTTACAATTACAGTTAAACCTAGAAGTACTATATCTATATATCTTGTGTTCTTAATGTATACTGTATGTGTAACGTAGTATATAATAAACCTAGAAGTAGTATATCTATATAACTTGCGTTCTTAATGTTTACTGTATGTGAAACGTAGTATATAATAAAACTAGAAGTAGTATATCTATATAAATTGTGTTCTTAATGTTTACTGTATGTGTAACGTAGTATATAATAAACCTAGAAGTAGTATATCTATATAACTTGCGTTCTTAATGTTTACTGTATGTGAAACGTAGTATATAATAAAACTAGAAGTAGTATATCTATATAAATTGTGTTCTTAATGTTTACTGTATGTGAAACGTAGTATATAATAAAACTAGAAGTAGTATATCTATATAAATTGTGTTCTTAATGTTTACTGTATGTGAAACGTAGTATATAATAAACCTAGAAGTAGTATATCTATATAACTTGCGTTCTTAATGTTTACTGTATGTGAAACGTAGTATATAATAAACCTAGAAGTAGTATATCTATATAACTTGCGTTCTTAATGTTTACTGTATGTGTAACGTAGTATATAATAAACCTAGAAGTAGTATATCTATATAACTTGCGTTCTTAATGTTTACTGTATGTGTAACGTAGTATGTAATAAACCTAGAAGTAGTATATATATATAACTTGTGTTCTTAATGTATACTGTATGTGTAATGTAGTATATAATAAACCTAGAAGTAGTATATCTATATATCTTGTGTTCTTAATTGCCAAGTTTTATTATGTACCTTTAAAAAGCTTTAACAACCAACTCTGAGAAATGAAGGTAAGTTTGAGTGTGGTAAATATTGATATAAATAAAACGTGAGGTAAAAGGTAAAGATGAAGTACAGTTAGTAATGTTATATATCATATGTAAATCTGGTGAATCATCCTGGTAACACTTCACAGAGTTAATAAATCCCTCGTCATCACACAGTCCCTCATAACTCAACTTCATAGTAAAATTCTGCAGTTGTTTAATTCCTTCAATTAAAAATAAATAAATTATTGAGTTGTACATTGCAAAGATCGATGATCAATTTGAGTGTTTTTATTTTGCAGTATATGTTTCGAATAGTTTAGATGACCTTTATTACAATCTCACGGAGGAGAGGGAAAGAGAGAGAGAGAGAGAGGGGGAGAGGGGTTTCTGACATCGGTCAAATTGTCAAATTCAAACTTGACCAAGAGCTCATCATTATATATGACCATGAAACATGTATTGCCTTCAATCGGGTGCAGTTTATTAATCTCTATTGTGCTCATAAACAAATTTTGACGCATGTTTACTATGTCAAGGGCAATAACTCAAAAAATATTCATCAAAAATCGTCAAATTCAACCTGAACCAAGAGCCTATAAATGATCACACCGAATTTCACTATAATTGGATGAAAAGTGTAGTGTCTTTTGCGCTCACGAACAAATTTTATTAAGTCATGGGCAATAACCCAAAAGCCTTTCATCAAAAAATCGTCAAATTCAATGCAATTATCAAGGCAGTGAACAATCTTAATCAGTGAAAACGCAGGCCTCTTGGAATTGGGGGTTCAAATAGAGAGCAGATTGACTGGCAGACGAAATTCCAAATATGAAAATACACCCCACTGGCTTCGCCACCGATCTTAATACAATCCTTCCTACCTTTATTATTTATCTCTATCCTATTATAGAGTTGAATTTCCTTGAAATTGTATATTCGTTGAAGGTCAAGGCACCACCACTGTGGCGAGCCATACCTACTATGACAGAAGGTCGAGATATCACCATCTACTGCTCTACAGGCTTCATATGGTTTGCTATACATGTATACACTTGATAATACAGCTAGTTTACCCAAGGCTACGTTGTCTTTATCTGGAAATAGGGAGACAATTCAAGGGACAAGTAGGCCATTTTTTACCAATCATAATTCAGTCTCAAAAACTGGAATTTTTTAGCTGAGCTAATCAGTAATGGTGTTTACAGCTCACCGTCGAAATTTGTGTCCAGAAATATCTGCTTTTGAATGTTACAATGACGATTGGTCAATTTAAGATACTCCGTGCTATATAGAAAAGACATCTATAGAAATAGTGAGTAAAATTCCTAGTTTGGAGTATTTTTAATGGAATTATGTGATTTTCGTACATTCTAATACTTCTTAAAACAACCCCCCCCCCCCCCCGCCCCCCGCCCCCCCAAAAAAAACCTTTAAAAGGATTGTAAAGAGGTTTTCTAAAATCGTTATGTCTATCGGGTACATTGATAGCATCAATTTACACCATTCCAACTTCCAATCAGACATGTGTGGTTACTTTAAATGAAATGATATTTAATTTCCAAGTGTCAAGTGATTTTTAACGTACACAGTCTGTAGAGCTCGGACTTTTGTGCCTTCCGAACGACTACGATTTTTCCTTGTTAGCACCTCCAACCTACATCACCAACAGAGTGAAAACCCTGTTAAAAATCAGAAGGTATCATCTCGACCTATTCCGGGATTGAACCCTGGACCTTCAGATTAACCAGCAAGCCATTAACTCACTGAGCCACCGTGGCTCCCTTGTTTTGAAACAGAAGAAAAGAAAGAAAGAAACAACTAACAACAAATTAGATTCCCCAAGAATCCTTTCTACCAGTTGGTCAGTCAACGAACTCACACTCCGATCACCTTCTTTAGTTGGGAAATGGCGCCAAGCAAAGAACCAACGCTCTAACCGAATCTTCTTAACAATTTCAAGGTATTGCGAATTTCGTCTTATACATTGACTGCAATAGCTATTTTCCTATATAATGTACATTATGGCTTTTTGTATAAGACTTTCTAACAAGGCCTCGAAGGTGCGAAGATGTAACAGACTGCTTCAGAAAAGTACTATGTCTGAAAGAATCGAAGTATTTATATTTTCATCTATTATGTAAAACAAGAGATTCGTTTTCAGTTCAAAAGACATGCAAACACCAGAAACTGACTAGCTGGTTCTAGAAATATGTTATACATACGTACCTTCAGTACTGGGGGAGTATGTTACCATTCCAATGTCCTCAGTAGAACGACAATCAGCCGGGAAACTTTCATAAAGATAACACTTCCTTTTTACTTTATGAAACCCAAATGAATAACAGGTGCCCGATTTTTTACACAAAGCTGCACAGTTAATCTTACTTGAAACATCCGACGATAGATAATAGTTGGGTATATGTTTGTCTTTGCGGTACAATGTTGAAACTTGACTCCAGAAATCAGCGGAGTTTACTGGAATAAAGTAGCTTATGCCTACAATAACAATCACAAACATCATTACTTGCGCTTGGAATACGAGAAGAATGCTAGACCTGTGAACAGCTCTGAAAGTGGCATTAAACCTTATCTCGCGGTTTCCGATATTCCAAACTTTTAACTGGTGCCTATAGGCCTATCAGGAGAATTTCGATTTTTCAATTTTTTTTCTTTTTGAATTTTTTTCTATCATTGTACTTACTAACATCAGTCAATCTAGTTAATTTTACTGACTGAAACTCCGCTTGGCTAATCTTAAGGAATGTGAAATGTTCTTTGTTATTTCAATAATTACATAATATTTATTATATATTGTATCAGGGGTAATTACCCCAAGGGAATCATTTTGACATTCTTGAGATAGATAAAGGGAATCATTTTGACATTCTTGAGATAGATAATCGGTTCAGCATGAGATATCTGAACAATAATGTAAGTTGTTCTACTCTGTAAGGCTATATTCTGGGAAAACCTTAGAGAAAATCACGAAAATTTCAAAAATTATTTAAGGGGTGGGTGGGGCAGGGGTGGGGGTAATGCAATCGATCAAGGACCCTGAGAACCTGAGAAGGGATAATTGAAAGAACAAAGGTTGAAAACTCCCTAGTCATATCTTTTTCTTCTTCTTATTGGGGGATAGTGTCCTCTGCGGAATAAAAACATCTATATCTCAGACGTTGAGTAAAGAGCTCCAATGGTTTCTTCCAAATCTTCTTCTGAGTCTTGATACTTTGTTTGTTCTTCTGTTGAGTTCTTCTTCTGTAGTTCTTTCTCAGTAGAGTTCTTCTTCTGTAATTCTTCTTCTGTAGTTCTTTCTCAGCAGAGTTCTTCTTCTGTAATTCTTCTTCTGTAGTTCTTTCTCAGTAGAGTTCTTCTTCTGTAGTTCTTCTTCTGTAGTTCTTCTTCTGTAATTCTTCTTCTGTAGAGTTCTTCTTCTGTAGTTCTTCTTCTGTAGTTCTTCTTCTGTAATTCTTCTTCTGTAGAGTTCTCCTTCTGTAGTTCTTCTTCCGTAGTTCTTCTTCTGTAATTCTCCTTCTGTAGAGTTCTTCTTCTGTAGTTCTTCTTCTGTGGTTGTTTTTCTGTTGAGTTCTCCTTCTGTAGTTCTTCTTCCGTAGTTCTTATTTTGTAGTTCTTGTTCTGTAGAGTTCTTCTTCTGTAGTTCTTCTTCTGTAGAGTTGATCTTCTGTGGTTGTTCTTCTGTAATTCTTCTTCTGTAGTTCTTCTTCTGTAAGAGTTCTTCTGTAGTTCTTCTTCTGTAAGAGTTCTTCTGTAGTTCTTCTTCTATAGTTCTTCTATTGTTCTTCTTCTGTAAGAGTTCTTCTATAGTTCTTCTTCTGTAAGAGTTCTTCTGTAGTTCTTCTTCTGTAGTTCTTCTTCTGTAAGAGTTCTTCTGTAGTTCTTCTTCTATAGTTCTTCTTCTGTAAGAGTTCTTCTGTAGTTCTTCTTCTGTAAGAGTTCTTCTGTGTTCTTCTTCTGTAGAGATCTTCTTCTGTAGTTCTTCTTCTGTGATTCTTCTTCTGTATCAGGGACACTTATAGCTTCTTTTAACATCATTCTTATATTATAGTATTTGTATGTGTGTCAGGGACACTTATAGCTTCTATTTACATCATTCTGAATTACAGTGCACGGTGGAAGAATAGCTTCAAGGGAAATAACTTGTGTTTTTATGTATAGTATTTTAAAATAATTGGACTCACTCCACTAAAATATTTCATGCAAATTATTGTATATGAATGTAGTCCAGGCTATTTTGCTTGCCTATTTTTGGGTAATTTTTGGTATAGATTTGGAATTTGATGTCTGAAATTGCATTATCTTTAAGATTTGCCGAGATGATGAGAGACCTAAAGGCGGAAGGCTAATTCTAAAAATAGTCGTTTTGTGAACTGCCAAAACTCTAGCGGATGAGTATAACCGGCAGTGGTCTACTTTCAATTTGACTAGCTCAAAATTTTCATGGACATCATATATTGAATTTTTTTAGGAGACATTAAGTATTGGCTTTCATTCGACATATTGGAAAGCTTTAAATGAATTGTAGAATGTTGAATTTCGTGTTTTAACATGGGAAGAGATGGCAATGAATAAGTGGAGTGAGTCCAATTACTGATGGACAACTGAAAACACGTGAAGTTTTTCGCGGGTCGGATGCGTCCTTTAAATTAGATGGGAGAAATGATGTAGAATGTCCTGTAATATAGACGAACGTTTTTTTTCTAGCCGAAATAGCCAAAATTGATCTGAAGGCAAACGAAGCACCAAGTAGGGCCTAATTAGGAATAGGAAAAAGGTATTCATGCCGGTTAGATTGAAACTTTAGTTCAGTTTAATTCAATTGCTAATTATTCTACTAAGAAAAGAGTGGAATGTTCTTTTGTCTGAGAAACATTGTTTTTTTTTTTATTATTTCAGGAAACATTTGTTTGAAAATCAAACTTGTCAATGCCAAAGTTAAAATCTGTCAAACACAGATATTTTTGATCATCCGGGTACCGTTAAAACATCAATACAACCAGTCCAATATATTTTCAATTCGCATTAAGAGGGTTTGACTAATCACTCGAAGAAAT